CCGTGAGCAGGAAAAGTATGTCAGGAGTGTAAATATGCAAGCAGTGATTACATTCTACAGCAAATGAGAAGAATTTATATATATAACTAGATAATACCTCCAAGGCAAAACAGTTGCGGAAAGCGCATCCAACAGATATCATGGCACGGAAGGCAAGAGAGATTCTCTGAATATTTGCCCATCTGCAGAGCAAGCGCCATCCATACGTACAGCGAGGAAGAATACTATTCGATAAAGCATCCAGACGATACGCATCTCCAACCTGGAGAAGATTCTCCAATGCCCATACCTGTATTGCGGATTTGAATCTCGTTAAACACTCGTTTTCATCTTGCAGGAAGTCTCGTGAACCACCGCCTACATAGTCAAGAGAGGTTTTCGTGGCTACGAGAAGAAATAGGGGTGCGAAAGTAAAGTATGGAGAATTGAAGGTTGGAGATCAATGTGAAGATATTGATCTTATTTATTGGTTGTTTGATTGGAAAGAGTCCAGTTAAGGTTCCAGTGTGTCTACATCATGTCAGCCCAGCATCAATGAAAGTATAGATGTATCTTGATTTGGTCTTCTCATATGGCTTCAAACCCCTTTCTTGTGAGATCCATTGCTGGCTCATCGGGTTCGTCTTCTCCGCTCCCGATCCTGGGCCCATATCTCTTCGTACTGGCCTGTTTCCCCCCCCCCCCCCCTCAGAAACAAGATTAGGTCTTGAGAGCACAGTTCACATTACTTCCCACTACTGTGAGAAACAAATGAAGTCGGTACACTCATGACGGAGCCCACATTACAATGGGATCCCATCAACTGACACTCGGTCATTTGGGACTATGGTAATTGTTAGAGCTTTTTAGTGGAAATTTCTGATGCTAATAGTTTCGGTCACAAGTTCTTCATCTTTATGCCGAATGTTCCTTCGTGGGCACAACGATAGGAGCGTGAGATTCCTGCAAAATACCATATCTATTTTTGGCCATTATTCACAAACGTATTTTGATCTCACCGATATGGAGACTTTGGGAATCTGGTGAGAAATTGAAATCGTTCCATCTGGATAAGGAGTTTGTCTTGAAAATTATGAAACTTGGCCCACGGAATATCCCAACTGCCAAAAGTCTCCCAGAGATGACTGGTTAAAGTATTTCCCTCCACAAGTTGATGTACGGTACATACTATATAAAAACAGGATACTTGTTTGTTAACCCCTAGCAATTTCATCAACAAGTAGAGCGTTATACTTAGACGTACATGACACACACTTTGACGGTACCAGGGACTAATTGCGTTTTCGACTTTTCGATAATTGGGGTTGCTCTCTCCCAATGCCTTCAGCAGCAGAATCTGAGAGTTTCCCAGAAGTTTGGCTCGGTAACCCCGGAGAGCAGGTACTGCACTGTGTTTTCAGTGAGCTTGCGGAAAGTCTTCCACATACCTTGTACCATACGTAGTCCAAGCACTCCTAACTGCACCACGATATAAATAACACGTTCATCCAGATCCAGGATGATTGCTGATTTTAGAACTATATCTGCTCAATAACCCCACTGACACATCAACTCATTCCGCAATCAATCAATTGCAGCCTCTTAACTGGAGTTACAACCTCTTGGACCGGATGACGAGGTTGTTCTTTTTCTGTTGGAAATGTCCTGCAAGTGGTTGGACGTCCCATAAATATGACGAAGAATTTTTTGATGGCCCAGAACTCCAAACACCCCCTTTGGTAAAGTGAATTATTGCTACGAAGCATGCCTCGCAACATTTTGGCCTTTCATCAACAGTCTCGCGCTCGCTCACATCTGCTCGTCAAGCAATGTTCCCAGAATGAAGGAGACAAGAGTAAAAGAGTGCTCCAGTCCACCTTTATGATATGAGCGATGAATATTTGCCGCGTGGGCCGAATATGCTTATGGACGATATCGGAACTTCACGGAGATGACGCTGGGATACAGGTTTCCAGTTGCTGGTCCATTCTAGATATACAGGAGTCTCTGAAGCTAGCTTTTCTTGTGCACTTGCACATCGCTGACATGCTCTCAGAAAATTCACTGCGCGTATGAAAGTTACAAACTTTTTTTCTCCGTGGACATGGTTACGCATTTCTTCCGGAGTGATGCGTGCCTGTTGTCTGGCGTTTTATGGAAGATGAAAGACCGGTCCATTATAATTCTATTGAAGATTCAATTTTCAAAACCTGTTTCGACCAGACACAGACAGGCTTCAAATCGCGGAGAGCATCCGTTAGTCTTCAGCTCGCCAAATCCAAAACCATGGCTATCGGTAACCTAGAGATATTGTAAGTTACTGCAAGAAGCGAAAAAAAAAAAAAAAAAAAAAAAAAAAAAAAAAGATATTTACCAACAGGGACTCTCACGACTCGCAATACGATTAGGGTTGGCTAAAGAATCAGGGTCCGAGAAAGAAACACGTATATATATATATATATATATCTAAAACCCTCTAGGGGGATAAAAGATGGGTGATGTTCCAGTTATTCCCGGCCGGGAACTGAAGCACCTGACACTGGCAAAACAGCATCCATGGATGGGACATTCAAGGGTTAAATAAACCAGAATAACGGGTCATTAACTATGGGACAAGAGACAGGATCTTTCATATGCCATTATTATTTTCTTCATCGCCTTAGGGAGTCCGCGAAAATAAACTGATATGCCATGATTCGCGGCAATCTCCCATTTTACTCACCATAACGGTGTCAGGGAGCCCCGAGGCGACCACTTTTTCAAGCTCTGCGCTATTCTAGAAGCGCAAGAGAATTTGATTTTCGAGAGGGT